TTCCTCAACTCTGTGAGTGCGTAAGTGTGTGCATGTCACATGCACATATGGCAGGCCTGCATCACCAGAGGATTCGCAGTTGACTCCCAGACTCACCTAAAAAGTGAACTGTGAGTTTGGGTGGCAGGTATGTGCTGGGGAGGAGTCTCAGGGAGAACAACAGCTTTGTGTACTGGTGAAGTAAACAGACAGGTTAGGTTTCTTTACTCTTTGCTTTTGAGAACTTTTTAACATTTTTGTTTCTCTTAAGGTGAAGGGCATGTGTGGACACAAGGGACTGGATTAAAATCCACAGGAGAGGTAGCAAATCTGGCAGGCACCCCCTGAGAAGGTGGAGCTGCAGTTGGAGTAGTTTGAACCTTAATCTCTGCATAGCTGTTGGGGAGGGCGGGGTTGGGGAGGGGTGTGAATCAATTTTCATTTAGAGAGAGCTTCTTGAAATCCTCCAAGGATCCAGTCCTGCACTGGATGCAAAGGGAATGTAGGCATTATACAACCATAGTTGATCTCAACCCCATACTGAATTGTAGTCAAGTTAGAAAAATAAGATTGACGTACTCAAGATTACTAGAAGACAAAGTAAGATAGGAATTTAGTGGAAAACTAATCAGCTGGGCATGGTGTCTGTCAGACCAGGGAGTGAGTGCCATGGTCCATCCAGGGTTTACAAAATGTTGCCATGGAATGGTGAAGACATGGACGTAAGTGAAGCTATGGGAGGGCTTTTGGGATCTTGTTTGTTCATTTGTACATTTGGTCCTTCATGCAACAAATATTTGGAGAGCACCAATCATATGCCAGGCATTGCACAGATCAGAGGAAGGGGATGTAAGAGCAGATTCTATAAAAAGAAAGAAAGAACCAATACAGAAAGAACTCTGTGCTTGTCATGTCACTGTGGACTAGTTTGACTTGAGTAGGAAATGCCTGTTGGTGGTTAATGAGCTTTGGACTCTTAAGGTGAGACCAGTGGGGAAAGTTTGGAATGGGCCTGGCTCAGTGGCTCAGTCTGTAATCCCAGCACTTTGGGAGGCTGAGGCAAGTGGATTGCCTGAGCCCATGGGTTCAAAATCAGCCAGGGCAACTTGGCGAGATCTCATCTCTACAATTAAAAAAAAATAGCTGGGTGTGGTAGCTCGTGCCTGTAGTTCCAGCTACTTGGAAGGCTGAGGCAGAAGGATTGCAGGAGTCCAGCAGTTCATCGCTGGGATAGCCATGAGTGTGCCACGCCTGGGTGATGGAGTGAGACTCTAATCCCCCAAAAAAGAAAGTCGGGAATGGATTGGGACTCTTTGAAACTGCACTGGTGTTTCACCTATAATGTTTATTGGGACCTAATCAAATTGCCCTGGTTTCATTCCTCAAGCAAGAAGAATCAGATTTCAACTGAGCCTTCTTATGGCACTCTACCTCTAATCCAACCCTTGTACCACATGCCAGAATGCCAGAATTGTCTTCCTAAGCATAGCTTTGATAGTGTCCCTTCCCTACTGACTCTCCTTAAATGGCTTCTATTACCTGTAAGATAAAATCCAAACATTAGAGTCATGTTCAAGGATGTCTGACTGCAACCACATTTTATTTATAGCTGTACCTCTCACCGGTCCCCATTGTGTGCCATAGCACCTTGCAAAGCATCAACTTTCTCTTTCCTGAGTACCAGTCCTGGACTCATGTCATGTGTTCTGTCTGCCATGTCTTCCTTCCATCTTACCTAGGAAAACCCCTCAAGATCAAAGCCTGATCCCATATTCTTCTGAAGTCTTTCTGTGAAGTTTCTTAGCCATCCATACTTTGCCCAAGTGGAGAACATTGTTCTTTTCCTTTATTTCTATCCTTTAGTGCAGTACATGGAAAATTCTGTTTTGTTTTGAGACTATTTTTCAAATCTCTCTTCAAGAGTATAACTTTCTTGAGAAAGGAGATTGCATTTTCACTGTATCTTAGGATTTTGGCTTGGAGAGCTGAAAAAAGATTGTTGAATTGAATTTTCATTTTTTTTTGGATCTCTTATTACTTGAATTTTGAGTTTTGGAACTTTTTCTTCTACATCTAATTAGTTATAGATATGTATGTATGTATATATATATATATATATATATATAGAGAGAGAGAGAGAGAGAGAGAGAGAGAGAGTTAGATATAAGAAGCTTTGAAGCGAATCTTTTTTAAATTGGAGATATTTTCTTAATATTAATAATGCATTCACTTTACATCCATTCATCTAAAGTTTAGTTTTCATTCTTTAATCTCATCACAAAATCTACAACATAATCTTTCCTCTTCTGGTTTAAAGGTCCATATTCATTTAATTTAGGAACTTTTAATGTAGATTATGCCCTACCTTTTGCTCTGAGTCAAGGATACTTTGTAGATGAGTGTTGGAGAACTAAAAGATAACACTGGAAATTCCTGCCAAGGCGAATAAACCCTGAGAAACTATAAGAAAACATGAAATTTGAAATTTGCATGGATCTGGAGTAAAGACTGAGAAAGACCCACTGGGTTCTTGTTGCTTTACAAGCAGGGAAATGTTCTAGGGCATGTTGATGTCTCCAGCAGCAGGTGTGGTACCTGACTCTAGTCAGAGAGGCCTCAATGAAGTTGACTTGAATATAACTTAAAAAAATTATATATGTTTTTCACCAGGTAGACAGGTTAGTCTATAGGAGACAAAGAATCTTATAAGTAGAAGAAATATCAAGTGTCCTCTGGTCCAACTGCTCTCTCCTCTCGCACAGTGACAATTTTGTCCTGTTTGTGGCATGGGTCACTGGTAGGTAATGGTTTTCAGTACGTGCCCCACAGCTTCAGCCAAGACGCTTACACTGTCACTAGGGAAGCCTCTTCTTACTTAGAAAAGCTGTACTCACTGGATCTTCCCCGAAGTGGAAGCAATTGGAAATGCGTCTTTCTGCAGAGCTGAGCAGTTTCCAGTAGCCAAGTAAGCTCCTGGACTTCTCTGGGAGCAGGGTTCATGTGAAAGCCCAGGGCTGCCTTCCTGACTGCTTTCATCACAGGCGTTAGCTGAAAATGTGCTGATTCCTGGGGGAGAAGATACACACCCGCTCTTGAGGCTTCCAACTCTTGGTTGTTCTGAATGTGTCTTTGCAGGCATGATTGGGCATTTTCTGGGGGCCACGTTTGCTGGCCAGTTCTTTTTGGGGTTTTTTTTGGGTTTTATTTTTTTGAGTTGGAGTCTTACTCTGTTGCCCAGACTGGAGTGCAGTGGCTGCTCACGGTCACTGCAACCTCGACCTGCTGGGCTCCGGTGATCCTTCCGCCTCAGCCTTCTGAGTAGCTGGAATTACAGGCACGTGCTACCACACCCAGCTGATTTTTGATTTATTGTAGAGATGAGGTCTTGCCAAGTTGCCCAGGTGGGTCTCGAACCCACGGACTCAGGCAATCCACTCACCTGAGCCTCCCAAAGTGCGGGATTATAGGCTGAGCCACCGAGCCCGGCTGCTGGCCAGTTCTTTAACATGATAGGCTCAGAGGTAGAAACCTAAGATGTCCAGTCATGTATTCTGCTAGGAAACTTGGAGTGTATTCAGTGATGGAGAAAGCTTGAGTGTGATCTAGTCTACGGTCCAGGATCGCAGGATGTGGTGTTTTGAGGTTTTGTGCAGCCCCAGAACTCTAGGTTTTTTTCTTGAGAATGAGCATTTGGGCTTCCTTTGGGCTTTGAAAATTTTGACTATGAAACTGGGAATATGAGGACATGGTGAGTAAGGGTGAGGATGGTTAAGCTCATCCTGAGATGGTTCTGAGAGAGCCTGACTGATTTTTCTTTTTCTTTCTTCTTTTTCTTCTTTTTGGAGCAGGTTCTGACTCTGTTGCCCAGGAGGGAGTGCAGTGGCACAATCACGGCTCACTGCAACCTGACCTCCTGAGCTCAACTGATCCTTCTTCCTCAGTCTCCCCAGTAGCTGGGACTACAGGTGCATGCCACCATGCCCAGCTAATTTTTTGGAATTTTTGTGGAGATAGGGTCTTGCTATGTTGCCCAGCCTCCTCTCAAACTCCTGGGCTCAAGCAGTTCTGCCTTCACCTCCCCAAGTGCTGGGATTATAGGTGTGAGCCACCATGCCCTGCCCACTCCTGACTGATTTTTCTCTTCTCATCTTGGAGGAAGGCAGAGATAAAGATCTCGGGGGTTTCCTGACCCTTTCACAGGCCTATAAAACTCTCCTTCTTTCCCTCTTTCTCTTTTGCTGCTATGTAGATGCAATATCACTTCATTTCAGAAGCCAGAAAGTGAATGAAAACTTTCCAAAAAGGTTATTTTTTAATCTCAGTAACTGATAATGATTAAATATCTTTCTTTTGTGTTGATGGAAATATTTATTGAGTTTGTTTTCCGTTCATCACAGTGTTATTTATGATTTCCCACTGAACTCGTCTTGTTTTCCTTCTTCAAGCCTCACACCCAAACTTTGTATTTATTTTAAGAAATAGAGAGAGGTCATTGTATGCTTGAAATGATGCCTCATGAAAAATGGTTAAGAGGTCAACTGAATGTTCTTCCTCTCAGGGGGTGCAGAGCTTGGTCCAGGCAGCCTGGGGGTTATGTTCAGCTTTGCAAACTGCTCTCTACACATGTGCGAGGGAAGTGGTGCAGAGCGTCAGCCCAGTGCAGTTCCCACAGACCTGAGCCTCGACACTTCAGACTTCCCTTTCGTCATGGTTGGTTTTGCTGGTGACTCAGGCAGCTGTGGCTTTGCTGTGAGAAACCTCTAGCTTGTTGTTGGGCTGGAAGACTCACCCCTTATCTTTATTCTTGGGCCCACAGCCCTATAACATTCATAACAATTGATGAAAGTTTCCTCCTCTGTTCCAGTAAAATCCAATTTGGAGATGTGCACATTTTGGTTGGATGTCTTTCCGCCATTTTTTTCTGATGCCATGGATAAGAAAGGGGCTTCCGGAATGTAGATGGAGTAGCTTTGGGGTTCATTTTCCCTCCTGTCATGGCTAACCATCTGTCTGCTTCTCAGTTGCAGATCTGATCTCTTCTGAACACCTCATCGTGTCTCCAACCCTGGGACTCTGACCCCAGCAGCTGGACCACTTGTGCTTGGAATTTGGGGTGTCCTCTCTTCTCACCTTCCACTTCTCCCCTCCCCCTTCTGAGAACTCCTAAAGACCGTAGGATTGTCATGGAGTCCAGGGAAATCTTAAGCAGCTCTCGGCAAAGAGGAGGCGAGTCCGAATTCCTGCCGGTCTCCTCTGCCAAGCCCCCGGCTGCTCCGGGCTGCGCAGGGGAAACTTTGCTCTCTGCTCCAGGGCCTGGGAAGGGGATTCCGGTGGGAGGAGAACGTATGGAGCCAGAGGAGGAGGATGAACTGGGCTCAGGGCGGGATGTGGATTCCAACTCCAATGCTGACAGTGAGAAATGGGTGGCAGGAGACGGTCTGGAGGAGCAGGAATTTTCTATCAAGGAGGCAAACTTCACAGAAGGAAGCCTGAAGCTGAAGATTCAGACCACTAAGCGGGCAAAGAAACCCCCAAAGAATCTGGAGAACTACATATGCCCACCTGAGATCAAGATCACCATCAAGCAGTCTGGGGACCAGAAAGTGTCCCGCGCTGGGAAAAATAGCAAAGCAACGAAGGAGGAAGAAAGAAGCCACTCCAAAAAGAAGGTAGGACGCCCTGCCTTATGGGTATTTTTGTTTGTTTACCTATTTTTACCATTTTTATCTTCAACTTTTTAAGGTCTGTTTGCATATCACAGCTGATCCTTGAACAACACGAGCGTTAGGGGTGCAGATCTGTGAAATTAAACCTGTGTATAACTTTTGAATCCCACCCAAACTTAAGTACTAGTAGGCTACTGTTGACTGCAAGCCTCACCAATGACATACAAAGCTGATTAACACTTATTTTGTATGTTTTATGTGCTAGGTACTGTACTCTCACAGTAAAGTAAGCTAAAGAAAAGAAAATATCCTCCAGAAAACCATAAGGCAGAGAAAATATTTTTACATTCATTAAATGAAAGCAGACCATTGTAAAGGTCTTGATCCTTGTAAAGGCTGAGAAGGAGGAGCAAGAGGAGAGGTTGGTCTTGTTGTCTACAGAGTGGTAGAGGTAGAGTGGACTCCCTGAGTTCAGACCCATGCTGTTCAAGGAGAGCTGCATTTATTTATTTCTGAATTATCAATCTTCTTGATGGAATATTTAAAACCTCCAGCAAAAATGCCTCTGATATAATCTTGGTATGATGTTAACTTTATTATCATATCTTCTACTCACCTGACAAAAAATAACTACTAGAATTGCAATTTTGGAGAATTCCTATTTATTGTATAGCAGCAAACTGGCTGGATCCGCTAACCCATAACACAATTTTGACTTTTTTCCCTTTAATATTTGCATCTGTTTCATAGTCAGGAGTGAGATGTTGAAAATTTATAGTCAATCAGAACAGTCAAAAGCTGTTAAAACCTCTTTTTGGTTTCAACCATTACTACTGTAAATCTTTCTAAGATGAATTACTCACCTAACTAAAGAAGCCCAGGCTTTGTAGTCACTGGGGAAGGCTCTCACAGGGCTGCGAGATCGTCATTCTGAAAACTGTTGATGAGCACTAAACCCGGAACTGGAGGAAAAAAAATACAGGCAACTGGCCTGAATCTTTGTCCAACACATCATGAACTTTTAAGATTGGACATTGAATGAACTTGGGTGGTTGTCTTTTTCCTCCTATAAGTCAAACATGGATATGTAAGGCTGGCAGAGAGGTGGTTGGTGATATCCGTTGGTTGGGAATGAATGGGACCAGGTTTTGTTGAATTTATTTTGTATCATACAGAGTTACTATGACCTCCATTTCTGGGGAGCATGTGACACTCAGCTATGATAGCAGAGGACTGCCTTAGTATAGCAGGTTCAAGATTCTTTCGGGCTTGGGGACAGCTCTGAAGAAGCCTTTTTGTTGACAGAGTTCTAGGGTTCTAGGTTGTAAGTGTTAATCAAAGTCTTTGTGTCTCTTTCTCCCTGACATTTGATCATTTGTTTGGACTCTAGCCATGGTGGATTAGCTAAAAGTGGCACATATGAATGAACCTACCTCTCTCCTTTATAGCCCAGAGATAATCCAGAGCGTTTCTGTTACCAGTGGTTTTTCTGAGCTTTGGGGTAGTTATTTTTAATACAATCACCTGGAAACATATTATCTCTTTAGTATAGGGCTTGTGTCTTTCCACATAGCAGGTATTTTGGCTGATTTGTTGCATTTAATTCAAAGGATGGGCTACCAGAGAATTTCTAGGGTGACGGACTCCTCATGATTTGCCCTAAACTGGTTTTAAAACTGAAAATCCTGCACCCGGGAACCTCCTCAGAACCTAGCAAATTGGGATAGTTGGCCACCTTACTTCAACATTTTGGCATATGAAGGAACTTTTAGAAATGGGCTTATTTTCCCCTCTCCCCACTACAATGTGCTGTGATTTCTGGGTTCTATGTCATAAAACCAAAGTTATCGCAACACATGCTGAAACTTTTTAGATTCTTGCAAGGAAATGCAGCCGTTCAAATCAGGCTCTTCTTAGAAAGGGAGGATTTGCTTTAGAGTTGAGACTCTTCGGATTTGAAAAAATGGCTATCTTTGTTTCTGGCTGTTGAGATTTCCTGTTGTGTGCTGTTGTATTTTTGTGTGGGTGGGCTGTTGTGAAAACTGTTGTTACTGTTTACCTTCCATCCCATCACTGCCAGGATTTAAGCAGCAGCCCACAGTTTTGGGTGAGCAAACCCAAATTCACTGCCCTAAGAAGAAAATGTGCTGTCTTGGTTAGGTACCACTTTTCCTAAAGCCACAGATTGCTCAAATATAGCCTCCTGCCCAATGGAATGTCCCAGAATAATGCTTTGGAATTTGTACCATGGGTATGATTTCAGAGCTGAAATGTGCAGTGAACCTCAGTTCTCATGTCTGAAAAACTCAGGCTGGTCATTTTCACCCAAAAAGTTGGATGCTCTTTGTGGACTTTATACGATAGAGATGAAGGTACATATTTGGATATGTGATTTGCAAAGTATGAAATTTTGTACCTCAGCAATCGAGGGAGGTAGAGAGGAAGGAGAGGGGTTGACATTCAATGCACAGTGCTCTTTTAGGATGCACCACAGTAGGAATACACTCCAGAACTTTTTAATTTTTAGGATTTTGCTTCATGTTGTACTTCCCTATTCTTTATTTTTGCTAGCACTGTTATTTTCCAGAAACGAATGAATACATGTATGATCACTGAGTCTTGGCTACTTGATAGATGACAAGAACATCCTCTGATCTCTATGGAATGAGAATGTTAACTTTATTCCCCTTCAAATTCCTGTTGCTTTTCAGCCAGGGAGTAAGAAAAAGTTGGAGTTGAGATTGAAAAGTGGAGACCTTGCCTACCATTTGTATGGAAAAGTTCAGAGGGATAATCTTGCGGAAATGACTTATCTGTGTGAATGAGAATATGAGAAGGGATCCCAAGAAGCCAGAATTTATTTATAAAAAGATGTGTATTTATTCTTATATGCTTAAACTTCAGTTACCTTCAAATTTCTCGTCGTTTGATTCCATACACCTGTCGAGGTGCTACTTCAGTTGCTCAAAATAGTTTTTGAACTCGGCAATTTTGATGCCTCTTAGTGCTTCTGCCATTTTTTGTTTCTCCTCTCACATCAGCAAAACGTTTCCCTTTGAGGACTTTTTCATCTGGGAAAACAAAAAATAAAATTGCTCAGGGTGAGATCAGGTAAAGAGGGAAGGTGGGGCACAGGGGTCATGCCATTTTTTGTAAAAAACTGCTAAACACTTAGCACAGTGTGGGCAGGTGTTTTGCACAGTAGAAGAACCAGTCACCTGTATGCCACAACTTGGGACATCTCTTCCACAAATCGTGATAGAACCTTCTCAAAATTTCCAGATAAAAACTTTGGTTGACTGTTTGATCTGGAGGAACAAATTCTGAGTATACTATAAGGGAGTCCACACTCTAAAAGATAATTCTGGGTTCTTTTGTTGTCCTCTCTTGTATGTGATCAGTCATTTAAGAGAAGGAAAGACGGAGGGTGATTTGTAAGTAACAGATCCGAGTCAAGACCCTGAAATCAGGTCTTCTGACTATTTTTTATGCGATGCACCACTCTTTAAAGAAGTACACCAGGGGATGGTCTCCAGAACCAGATGCTACCCTAGGAGCTCAGAAAGGAGTCATGTTGAGCTAGTCATCGAACAGGTGGAGATCTCTACTTGAGAGTCTGGTGTGTGCTGGCTTTAAGCAGGGTTTGGCAAACTGTAACCCATGGCCAAATCCATCTCCCTGGCTGCTTTTGTACTGCCCACAAAGAATGGTTTTTACATTTTCAAAAGGTTGGATGAAAGTCAAAAGAAGAAGAATATTTTGTAACATGCAATTCAAATTTCAGTGTCCTTAAATAAAATTTTATGGGAACAGAGCCAAGTCCATTTGTTTACATTTTGTCTATGACTGCTTTTGTATTGCAGTGGCAGAGTAGAGTTGTTGTGATGAAGATGCTATGGTCCTCAAAACTTAAACTACTGTGTACCCCTTACATAAAACTTACATTGGCCCTTGACTTAGGGGAAGGGCACAGAGTTCAGGGTTTTGTTTTATCTTAGTTTGTTTTTAATAATTGAGCCTCCAAGTTTTGAGGCTGGGGGAAATTAGGTTGCTTTATTTGCTTTGTTGTTGTTTTTTTAAGTGAATGAATTAATTTTATTCAAGTCATTGTTTGACAGCCTCAGGCAGAAGCAGTTTATTGGATCCCAATGATATTTTTTCTATTGGTTTTTGTAAAAAGAAAGCTCCATATGACAATGGTAGCATGGCTTACATATTGTAGGCTTTTCTCTGCGAGATTAACTCTAGATATATATGGTCTCCTGCTTTGGGATGAAGGAGTATATGCCTAGCATCCTCAAGGGCTTTACTCCAAATTTCAAGCCTAGGACTAACTCTCCAAACTGGACAGGCATTATCGATGTTCAGGGAACATGGCCACCTAAGTGCTAGAATGTGAGGAGGGAGCCAAGAAAATACCATCTTCCTGGCTCAAGGATGCATGGACTTCTAACCAGGATAGAGTTTCCTCCTTTCCATATGAAACCAGGCTGAGGACTGAGATGTTGTTTGGGGAAGGGTTTATGAGGAGTGGATTCACATGCGATGTGAGAACAGCATTTGGTAAGACATGGAGGCTGGGGAGAGAGCACAGAACCTATTTCGGGGCCTCAGAACTCAACTTCGGACAGGTCGAGCTTTGCAGACAAACCCTGCACAGGACTAACACCATTGCATCTTAAACTTACTCAGCCAAGTGACATAACTGACACTTCCTCTGGGTCACTCAAGGAACATGAAGTTGAGTCTCTAGAAATAAGTTCAGTTACAAAACATGAACATAAAAGGTTCCAGCGGTGACAGTTTTGAAGAAGGTCCCTGCTGGGCATAGCCGAGCAGCACTCTTCTTTTCTGAAGACCTTAAGAGTTTGAGACAGGTGTCTAGGTTTAACAGCACCAGAAGAACGTGGGAATTCTAGGTGTACTCCATGCAGTGACTTAGAGTAGAAGATGCAGGGTGGTAGTCTGACACCAAGTGGTTTTGTGAATTTAGATAATGAAGC